TGAGGTTCCTTTTTTGTTTTTTATGTTGGTGAATAAGGTTTTAAAAGAGCCACAAAGGTTTTAGTTGTGCAGTCAGCACCAGTCTCAGTGTTACAATGGCCTAGCAAAGTGAAGACCACATTTTTGCTTGACAACCAAAGGGTGGTTTGTGCAGCATTAAAAAGCTTTTAGTTAGATTAAGATGCATCGACTGATTGGTGGAATATTATTTTAAACGGAGCCGGAGACACTGCCTTTAGTTTCATTAAAGAGATAATAATAGTACTTTGAAGTAACTTAACATTATTTCAGAAACTAAAATTGAAAACTACAAAGGCAAAACAGGTATTATTACCTTTTGTATTTCCTCTAAGTGTTATCAATTTATTTATTTTTTAATTCAAAATAAATCATGCCTACTTCTTCTAAAATTAAAGCTCTTTGTCCTTTTTATTCTGGTGGCCAAAAAGAATCTTTAATAACTTCACGGCAAATGTTTTCTACAGTTTCAGGGACAGGATAATAATTTATACTGAATAAGTTAAAACCAATTTTTTTTTACGTCCCACTCACCAAAAAGCATGTTTTCACACCACCACTTATCCACTTTTCGCACTTTATTATTTTGTTGAAAGGAAGAAAAGTATTTCAAGGATATATGAGATTTTTTTTTCCCTCCTCCATCATTGGAGTGGCTTGTTGTTTGTGTTTGACAGCAGTCGGCATGCTGATCTCTGGTAGGGGCAGAGAGAAACAAAGTAAACATACTTGTGCTCGGACATACCTGTCGAGACATTGATGTGCTGTGTTAGCAGTTTTATTGTTAACAGCTGGATCGATGACTAAAAAACAGTCGGACCACTTAAAGGTTACAAAATAAACATTTGTAAATGAGGTTACAGAGTTGGTCCACCCTCTTGACATCTGTTGGATGGATTAATATGAAAATTTGTACATGTGTTGGCCCAGAGGTCATCACTAATGGCTTAGTGATCCCCTGAATATGCAGCTAAATATCTCATGAAATACTTGGTTTGTCATAAATTTTGCTATGTGGATCAGTTTTAATACATGTTACTCAAAACGTCTGCTAACCGATGATCTCCCCGTTACTTTCAGCTGCAGTGTGAACATGGTAAACATTAAATCAGAGGGGTGTACTGTGAAGTGAGGTTAATGAGTCAGTGAGCTACGTTGAGCTTAAAGACATGGCAACGCATACTGCACAGCTTACCTGGTCCGTTGGAGGGTGTGCTTATATTGTGCTTATATTATGTGTGGTTATTTAGAGGTATTTATCACATTTTTTTCACTTTCATGTCTCATCTAACTATGTTTTTTTCTCCATCCCCTGCTAAGTCAGCATTATCCCACAGCCTACCCAAGTGGTTTGATTAGTTTGGTATCAAGTGCAAAGTTGTTTGGACCCAATATTTGAGTGGCGACAAGTTATTAAGAATGAGGCCAAATGTTTAAAATGCCCGAATTTCCTCTTTCTAAACCTGCCTGATTATTTGCATTTAATTGGCTGCAGCTGTTCTGGTCTCTAAATGAGACTGGTACCTCTGAATTGTGTACCCTTTCACTGTGGGCTGTTTGGATTTATCTGGATGAAAAAATCTCAGCTTGTACTCCTTTGTATACTTGATAGATTTGTTTGACATGTAATTGTCTGTACATGTGACTTCATTTCCCCCCCCCATACGTGCAAACAAACATTTGAGTACACACAGTCAAGAAAATACTTCCTACCAACCAGTTAGTGGAGCACCGAAGGGCCTCCTGGTTCCTGTGTATTTCACAGAGCTTTACTTTTAGGGCGAGCCTCGCTACTTAGTTAAACAAAAGGGCCTCCATGTTGGTCCTCTAGGTAAACACACTTTCCTGAGAAAACACGGACACAGTTACACTTTAACCTGCCCGGGAGGCCACAACTACATCCTCCCGGACAGTTTAGATCGAACTGGGCTATAGTTCAGACCCTCAGTGAGAATCATGTGCTGCACGTGAAACCATGCAGGCCTGTCAAACAATGGTGCCTTTGACAGCCGTGCTCCCCCTCCCTAGTCCACAGTACAGTCAGAGCACTGTCTCTCTAGGGCTTGGATGTCACTCCCCATCTCTGTTGTGCTCCCCTGGAGCTGACCAGCTGGCTTCTAGGCTCTGGGATGTGAAAAGCAGCAGCACAGAGGAGCTACAGTCAAAGTTTAGCCCGCATTAGCTCTTCAGAGAGGCCAGCAGCAACTCAAGCCAACCAAGTTGAAGTTGTTCCACGTAAATAACCTGATAAGTTCAGCCACTTGGGAGTAGCCTGAGCTGGTCCTTTGACCCACCTGACATAATATCATCTTTTGCCCCTTAATCCTGCTCTGCAATGTTTTTCACATTTTCACACACATTTTTTTTACATACACACCAACCACAGTGTAATAATCCTATACAGACAATATACAGAATTTGCTTTCTCAGCATGGCAAAAATGTGAATTATAGTCTTTTTTAAGCAATGAACTACAATTAAAATCACTCCCGGTTAGCAAAGACTGCAGGGATTGAGCAATTGCCTGAAGAAACACAAGTCAGTCAAATTTTAATAAAATGCAGATGGCTAAGCTCAAATGTGTTTCATGCTCTGGATTCTCAAGTATCCACAAGGCATTGCAGCATTAACAATTGTTCAGCTCTATAAGTCACTGGCGTGCAGTACAGGTACTGCATGTCGTGTCTAACTCACAGGTCATTCTAACTACATGCAGCAATGTCGCTTGTTGAAGTATCTCTGCCTGTAATGCAAAATAGAGAGAAGAAAGCATATTACTGTGCCTCCATTACTGCACAAACAAAGGTTTGAGTGTGCTTTGAAGCCATTGTGACTGGAGACATTTTTGTACACTCAGAATGAAGTGGCTGACTGAAGTCTCAAGCTTGAACAGATTTCAACATTAGGAACACTGAATAAAGCATTCTTATCTCTCTGCTAGATGATGGACATATAGGCAAGCGATGAGAGTTATATGATGTTATAGTTATGCAGAGCTGCCACCTCCCCCAGGCAGCGGCGGTCATGTAAACAGACAACGCTCTAGAGGAATGCTGGACTCTGTGACCTCCCGCCCCGACTGCTGTTACAGTGCACTGAGTTCAGTTAAAACAACCCTCCCCACGCTGCGCCTCCCCAGAGCTCCGCCTCGCCCGCCCTAGTCTGAGGCCCCTCAGGGTGGAAAAAACACACCTCTTTCACCCAACACCGCAGCCTGTTCACATATACATATACACGTACATGAACAGACACACACAGAAAGACAAGTGGCCCTTTTCTTTGCCATCCCAGCCATCAGGACATCAAGCTCCGGTTTCAGGCTGCCTTGTTCTTTGGTTAAACGTACTTGGTCCTCCTTTTATTCCTTCGTTCCTGTAGAGTTAAAAAAAAAAAATCATGGGTATACTGTTCAGTCCTATATTTTCAGGCTTAGTTGTTTCTTTTTTTGGGAACCGGAGAATTTAATTGTAAAATTAGCCTGTCCCTGACACTGAGGAGCTCTAAGACATTCTTTCCTCTTACCAGTCAGTATTTCAAATTCGCTAACTGATAACACTGACCTCAATTTTTGTTAGAAAATAGAACCGAATGAATTTTTAAAAAAATTACTTTTGTAAAAAGCTTGTTTTTCTGATTAAACTCTTTCCCCGCTTTAAATAAACATTCAGTGAAATGTGGTTTGGGAGGCGTATACTACAGTGTCAAGCAGACACTGCCATCTGCTGGAGTGCAAATTGAGGTGAAAGAGCAGGTCAGCAAGGATGAAGGCTCTAAGATGCTGGTTTGTAAAGTCAAACAGACTTACATCTGACAAAGTGCTGAGCAGCAGAGGAAAAGCAAGACAGACACTGAGAGCCACATCTAACAGAAATTCACTCTGTTTCTCAGTCACACACGAGTTGTAACCCCGCTAAGATCCCTTGAATAAATCAAGTCAGTCAGAGGGAAGACCTAGTTAAAACGTAGCATGAAGCTGAGCTGCAGCTGCTTATATGTCATGGTTTATGAATCTTAAGTGGATTTTGTAATTGATTGCAGAAGCAGAGTGATGATTATCGCTTTGCTGGAACTCGTCACATTAAACACGAGAGGCCTAACACATGTATGCGTTACTTGTGCACACAGTTAGACATGTGGATGCACACATACACAGAGGCACACACACATGCAGACACACACACACTCACACGCACACAATCACAGTTAGCCGTTGTCTGAGGAAATGAGGAGCTGTCTGGTGCCATAGCAACCAATGCGGATATCCCACCCTTCTAGAGCAAGACAGAAAAAAAAAACCAACAAAAAAACAAAAGTGGCAATGAGAGATTGACAAGGCCCTAATGAGATCCCTGCTACAGAGATTATCTATCTATTTATCTGTCTGTTTGTCTCATCTAGCTACTGTCTGTCTTGTGGTCCCATTCGGTTTATCACAGACCGAATGGGAAAAGTAGAAAACGTTAAACCGCAGCTACGGCAACATCAAGAAATTTTAGGAAACAAAATGTAAGGAACAGAATAGCCACGCGTGGGTGAGAAAGGTGAGCGCACACTGATGTGGAAGGAGAGAAATGAAACAAGGCAAGACAAAAAATGCTCAGACTACTCTCTGGGGCACGTCTGTCTGTTGTGAGCACTGAGCCATTGCCTAAAAACACAGACACTGCCGCAGTCTGCATCAGCCTCCCTTTCACCACCGTGGCTCCCGTTTGAACTGCGCTCATATGTAATACTATTATTCTGGCCCATATACCAGGTTACATAACACTCCGAGCCAAATCCTGACCTCAATCTGCAAAACAGTCACTCTTGCACTGATCAGAATGTTAGATTCCTTATGAGAACTGACGTATGTGGAGCACAGCAACAAAAAAATAGTCAAGATGTCACAGGACTGTTAATAGCCAAAGTTTGCTGGTTTGGTACTACCTACTCTGCATATGAGCTAATGACCATTGTTATTGTTTTTTCCCCTTCTGTAGGTGGCTCTAAGAACTTCTGGAATGGATGGAGAGCACCAACTGCGTTACCCCCCACCCGGTAAGTTTAGCCCTTATCGAGTCTCACTTCCTGGGCTGGCCTGCAGGTGGAAGTCACACCCACGGCTATGTACGCCACAAACAACATCCCTGTTGGAAAAAGACTCCACTCCCATTTACTTTTCCTATCTATCAAGTCTGTGTGATGTGATAATCATTGTTTGTGGCCACTTCATATCAGTAGTACAGCAGAGTGATAGTCTGTGTGTCTGTGTGGTGCTGATGCTATTTATGTCAGCAGCGTATGGCAGAAGACCACAAGAAGTGACTCACAGCACTGACATGACCTAAATCTTTTTTTTTCTTTACTGCAGTGTCATTGTGTTGTCTTTGTGTGAAGCCAGCCAGCTTTGCTCACACTGTTGGGCTTTGATGTGCTGCCCTGAAGTGAGTGTGGAACATGTCAGTGAAACTGTAGAGTCAGAGAGATGGCTGAATGAGACTCGAGAGAGGCCATGACTTTGACTTGTGTGAAAAAGCGCTTTATAGATTAAAATAAGTGTGTCTCTTGTTAGACTGCTAGTCAGGGATCATCGTAGGGGAGGTAACCCCTTAGTACAGATCCAACTTTTCCCTAAAGATATATATTATCCTCACATGACCTAGTTTTACCATTTCAATAATTCTTTGTGGATGAATTTACAGCCCTCGAAAAATCTTAGTAGAGGTGCCTCAGTCCTCCACTGCACCTTTACACTCGGTCCACCTGTGAATGAAGTTTATTGAAAATCATTGGGCCGTTCATCTGCCTCCATGCTGTTGTTCTGTTACCTGGCGTGGCCCCGAGTGCCTCCTTCTCCTCTTCAGGAGTGCAGCGGCTGCAGCCCCACCTGACGCACTTAACTGTTTGCCTACTGATCTACGCCTTGGCTCGAGGAGATGGATGGAGTGGGGATTGGACTACCAGCCAATAACAGTCCTCATTCTGACAGCACTGAAGTGACTTGACACATGTATTCAGCCAATCAGAGAACACTGCAGCAAAGGAAGAAGGAGCCGTTAAAAAAAGGGGGGTGTCTTCGGTGTCCTGTGCTTTCACAGGTTTTGCAAGTCACAGCTAAATTGCAAAACTGAAATCAAACCAAGTTGTGCGGTTATTAACTAGCACGTAAAACCTCAACACGGCACTACTAGATGGGATTATTCATAATCAATAATGTCTTTGAATATAAGGCCTGTAGTTGATAGCAAAATGTTGGTTTTATGCTACATTGTTTAAAAGTAATCACTGCAGCTATTAATAGGCTTTAATGAGCAACACATCCCTGTCACACTGTTGCTCTTGACTGCAGTGGCTACAGCACCATGGTTTGCTTTTCACTTTTGAGACATTTGAAAAGGTTGGTTTTGATTTTTGTTGGTTATCATTCACTCACTCATAGCTTGGATTCACTCTCGGCTTATCTGGATCTAAAAAGAGACCGTCTTCCAGCAATGATGATGCATATAAAGGAAAGAAAAGCTTTCATCTGTGGGGCCTTTAGGTATATTCACCACCTCAGAAATATGGAATGCCGTCCTAAAGAATCAACCCAGGATACAGGTTGTTATCTTTAGAGTCTGTAAAGTCAGTTACCGCAGTAAAAGGTCTATTACCTTGTCTGACACAGCGTGGCAGTGCCGTCTTAACGGCTGCAGACACATGCCACATATCAGTGTCCAGCCGGCAGAGGACCTCTCTATTAGTGTGCCCCTAACTGCACATGTTACAGTCCCCTTATCGGTCAATATTCCCTGGGAGCTTAGATGAGAGGTGGTTGTCTTGAGTTTTTATCTTGCAGTGCTGGTTGGCGATTGTGTTCGAATGATTTTTGCATTTTAACCAGATGGATACACGTTTATTTTTCACCAACGTGATGTGTGTTATGTAAGTAGGGTGTGGTCTAGTTGGCATCTGTCGGTTTATATTTAAGTACAATATTTTTAAAAAGTGATAAATAATCAACGCTGCTTTTTATTACTCAGAAATATGTAATATATTAACAGCGTGAGCATGCGCGCTTTATTGAGAGGTGATCCCGTGTGGTCGCTGACTTTATCACCTTTGAAAAGGATATTTTCTGTTATTAGTTTTTAGCTGATTATTAATGTAACATGTTAAATGAAATTTCAACAAACTTTTGTGGAAAGTTCAGCTGTGTGGTTAAAAAAACAAACAAGTAATTAGTTTGTGTTGTGAGTCTGGATCAGGATGCAGGTCAAGGATTATTTTTAATGAATTTTTAAACACTGAGATATGACAAAATTTTAAAAAAGAAGCATTTTGCTTTTGCTTCCTGAGCATGAGTGTGATTGGGTTATTTTGACAAAGATTATCAGTGTTTCGGAATTCTTTGTTTTGTTATCCTGACTTTTTGGAAAAATGTTCCTTCCATGAGCCTTGTAGGGTTTACTTTAAAGACACGATATGTCCGGTTTTTTTTTTTAGTCTATAAAAAAAAACAAAGTTTCAGTTCTCGGGACGAACGTCACAACAGCCGGTCCAATAATCCTTTGGTTCAGAACCTATAAAATCTACTTTTAAGTGACATATCATCATCTTCCGAACAACCATGTTTATATTCCTTTTGTGTTTGAACACTTATGTCGAAAAAGGTCATGTGATACCTGGGCCACAGGATAAGTTTATTTGTCTGTGTGTTGTTTTCTCTGTCTATATGAAAGGTAAAGCACTGATTTAAAAAAAAGAAAGAAAAAAGCTTCTAAAAAAGTTGCTTATTAGATCCATGTTCAGTTTGCTTCAGCCAAACCAGTTTCTTTCTGCTACGGTTTTAATGGCAAAGCACTTACAGGCTTATTCACCACTGGATCTAGTGCTGGGTGTATTGAAAACAGAGTTTGAAAAATATTTGTATTTAAAAAGTTAAAATGTTAGATTAAAAGATCAAAAACACCTCCTAGTCTCTTACTTAAATTGTCATTAAGGGAGCTTGTCATAAGCAGCGATTCACCTCTCTGTAATATCTTACGCTACTGTTTCTGCAGACCAGCATGAATTCATTACTCTGCACTGTTCTGCATGTTTACATGACTCATTTACAGACTGTAAATAATCCGTTCAAAATGAAGGGCTACAAAATTACAATTTGAGTTCTTTTTTTCATCTAGAAAATACATTTCTTGAATTGCTTCATAGCAACATTGTTATATTTTACAGGTAAAACAATCACAGGACAGTCTGTATATACAGTGCACTCTCTCATTCAGAACGTGTTGATATTTAATGATTTCTGCATATCTGTGCGACTTCAGTATTCAGGTACCGATCAAAAATTAACATGGTTTTTGATTTTATCCCGTGACCGCATCAGTATTCACGTTGATGATCAGCTCTTTTAAAATTGCATTGTGAGAGCCTGCAGACTGTAGTAGCTCTACTCACTGTGTGTATCTTTTTCCTGCCTCCATCCTTCCAAGCCTTACAGCTACAGTTCATGACTCACAAGGTACTCTGTGTGTGTGTTTTCTGTTTTATTTGTGTGCCTGAGCGTCTGAGTATACTGGAAAAGGCTATAGAGGACACAGTCCTGCATGGACTCTCAACGCTGCACAGGAGTACGAAAAACAGACATACCGGATTATTCCAGATTAGGAAATCTATGTACTTTAGTGATCGAGGATATGATTCAATGTTCTTTGGGCGGTGTTAATGTGGTTGAATGACCAGTGTTTTTCATGTGGCCTCAAGAAGTGAAAGTGCGACTGAGTCATCAAATAGAGACACAATAGAACAGGAAACCACAGTGGTGCCTACACACCCTAGTGCCGTAAGCACACAGTTGGGTTACTTGATTGCTAAATTTGAAGAATTTTGCTTGCTCATTATGGCTTTCCACTGTTCAGAGTCATGTCTCACGTGTTTGGAAAGACACACCCAACAAGTGGTCTGATTTATTGCTTTGGAAACAAAAGGATTTGTTTTACAGAGGGATGTGCGGTGTTGAATCTTTCAGGCGAATTACTCACCGACATTTGAAAAAGAAGGCAATTGTGCTTTTTTAGTGTTAACTGTGGATGAATATGTATTGAAGAGAAATGAAGTAGAAGAAGAAAAAAAATGGTACTGTACTGGCTCACATGGTGAATAGTGATTTATATTTTAGGAATTAGACAGTCTATTAAAAGTCAGGTGAAACAGAGAGGAAAATTTGTGAGGTTGCCGAGAACTACTGCTGTCATTTCCAAAATGCGGCGTTTCAAAATGATTAGACTAAATGCAAAAGTCCTACAGGAGAGAGAGAGAATATGTCAGCTACACAGATGTAACTTTACATGTTACTCTGAACATGTCTCATGCAGAAGAATAGCTTTCAAAGATTAGTTCCCTGTAGGAAATAAATTAATCTCAAGAACTTCCTATTCAAAACAATACAACATATAAAAAGAAATGAGATTTTCCTGACAATTTACAGACCATTTTTACTCTATATTATATCTTTTAAGGCATAGTGGCATCATCTATACCTATATGTCTTAAAGCGATATGTGAATGATTTAAAATTAGAATTAAAGGGCTGTTCCTATTTGTTGGATAAAAATAGCGAGGGATGACTTAGAGTCTGCTACTGATAATTATCGTGATTCTCCTTGAATGTAGCTTGCGGTCAGTGTACCGCTGTCTGGGGAATCCTGCATGCAAATGTTAATTTCTTCTTGTTTGCTGTCTTAATCTGGCTTTCATTCTTCCTGACCAATTGCTGTCATCTCAGAGGTTCAGATTATTGGCTCTCCTTTCCCTCCTCCACAGCAGACATGTGTAACAGTCTGGTAATGTCTGTGTAATATTTGGCATTTTCCAAACTAGGGTGATCCGCTTGGTGTTTATTAAAATGACTCAGCTTCCAGAGAGTGATGTCCAAAATAAAAAAGAGCAACTTGTTTGAGGTGAAAGGCGTGACCACACGCTGTAGACGCTACAAAGATGCAGTGTCTATGACATCACCCACAGGTTTGTGAAGGGAGGTTTTCACGCCAGGATCTGGGTTAGCCAGCCCAAATTTA